CGCAATAAGCATGGGTGTGCATATATCTGCTTGGGTGTCAGTTATGGTCTCTTTAGGGTATATTCCCAGTAGTGGAATTGCTGGTCAAATGGTATCTCTATTTGCAACTTTTTGAGAAAGCACCACACCACTTGCCACAGTGGTTGCACAATTTTACACTCCCACCAACAGTGAATAAGGGTTCCAGTTTCTCCACAACCTCGCCAGCATTTGTTGCTTGCTGTTCTGTTAAATTTGTGAGATGATACCTCATAGTTGTTTTGATTTGCATCTCTCTTAGAGCTAGGGATTTTGAATATTTTTTCATGTACTTATTGGCCATCTGAATGTCTTCTTTGGTGAAGGGTTTGTTCATATCCTGTGCCCATTTTTCAATTGAATTATTTACCTTTATCTTGCTGTGGTTCTCAAATATTTTATAAATTCTATATATAAATCCCTTATCTGACTTGTCATTACCAAATACTTTTTCCCAGTCTGTGGCTCCCCTTTTTACCCTTTTGGAGAAGTTTTTGGATGTGCATAGAGATTTGATTCTTAGACGGTCCCATTCATCTATTTTATCTTCTCCTGGTTGTAGGTTTTTCAGGATACTTGGAAGACTGTTTATGTTGTGGATTAGGACTACTAGGGTTGGCCCAAGCTTTTCTTTAATGAAGTTTATAGTCCTTGGTTTTAGTCCTAGGTCCATGATCCATCTTGAGTTGATTTTTTTATATGGAGTGAGGTGTGAATCTTGCTTTAGTCTTCTGAAGATATTTTCCAATTTTGTCAACACCATTTGTTAAAAAGCCTGTCATTTCCCTAATTAATTGATTTCATCTCCTTGTCAAAAATCAGTTGACCATAGGTAGATGGGCTTGTTTCTGGGTTCTCAATTCTATTCCATTGATCTATGTGTCTGTCATTGTACCAGTACCATGCTGTCTTAACTACCACAATAGTGTAGTAGGATTTTAAATCAGGGAATGAGATGCCGCCTACCTTTCCTCTATTTGTAAGGAGAAGCACTGGATTTCTAACCAAAAGGTCAGCACTTTGAAATCACCTGTGACTCCATGGGGGAAATATGCAGCAGTCAGCTTCTATAAAGATTTATAGCTTTAGAAACTCTAAGGCAGTCCTGCTATAGGGTTTTATAGGATTCTATAGGGTTGCTATGGAGCTCTGGTGACCGGTAAGAAGCTTCTGCAATCCTAAAGGTACGTGGTTCCAATCCACCAGCACCTCTGCAGGAGAAAGATGGGCAATTTCCTCCTGTCCGTTTAAATGTCTCTGAAAACCTGCATCAGGGTAAGCTATGGGTCCGTCCCTATTCGACAGTACACCACCACAATAAAAACAATAATGTTGCTAGGAGTAGGAGTTACCTTGATGGCAACTGATTTATAAGTGGAAGACATGTGGAAGAAAACAATGAGAAATCATGCTAGAAACTTTTCGAATGCCTAAACTTGTCTGTTAACTTGTCTGGAGTTCGTTAGTTAGCCTTGAGGTGTCTCTGACTTCACTAACCTTTCAAAGATACAAGCAGTCTCAACAGATGTTCCGTGAAGATAAGGTCATGCTCTCAGGTGAAAGCTTCACCCTGTTCTCCTTCTCTTCTAAATTCTAAACCACTGTTACTTCTCATAAACATTATGGCCATGTTGGAGCTGGAATGCTGGTAGGCATCTTCTCAGCAGTTGTCAGGGCCTTGAACAGATCTCTCGCAAAGCCCCTGCTGCAGCTCTGTAACATGACCTTGGGATGGAAGGAAAGACTCTTGCCCTGCCACATTCCATATCTAAAGTTTTATCTGTTTTCCAGGAAGAGATGAACACCTAGCTCCAAACTAATAATGCAGTAATGCATGGGGGTTGTGCATGAGCTGAAATAAGACTGTGAATGAGCTGAAATATCTTGCCTGCAAAGTTGCAATAAGTGCAGTTTACCAACACCTGCATGCCCATTGACAATATTCTTGAGGAGACAGACCTAAATCATGGGCCTGACCATTTGATGCTATGGCTCCTCTTCTTGCTTCTGCTCTTGTTGCTTCCCTCACCCAAGCACTGAGAACCTTCAAAATTCCAGGCACGGGCCCCTGCTGCTGTCAGCTACCAGGAGAGAAGAGTCAAGAGGATGTGGGACAAACAGAAACCAGAGAAGATGTTACATTTGACCAAGCCCAGTGAAACAATATCGGGCACAGTACTAACTGCCTCGCCTTTGACTAACTGAGACCTTTCATTATATCTCTGATCAGAAACATTGGTAGTGGTAGGCCCACACCATCTAGTTCTTCTAGTCTCATGCGTGCCATTAGAGAAGGTTGTGGTTTGCAGGTGCCATTAATCCTGTGGGTTGATTTCTTCATTGGGTCTTGTTTCCTTCACACACCTTTCCTCCAGATGGAAAGAAAAACAATTGTATAAGTGCTGTAGGAAATAGTCTTAATTGTATCTGCTTTGTGCTTTATTAAATATACATATGATCACTAGGTAGCTCTGGTGGCCTAGTGGTAAAAGCCTGTGCTGCAGCCCTGAAGGAACAAAGTTCAAATCCATGGGAGAAGGATGGTCAATCAATGGTACAATTATCTGCCTCTGAAAACCCACTGGAGGGCCAGTTGATTCCAACTCCACAGTACACAACAGCTTGACTATCGCTAGACCTATTCTTTTGCTTGGATGAATAACCTACATCCATGGTAGCAGCAGTCAAGAAATAAAAAGACTTGTTGCACTAGAAAAATCTGTTGTTTAAGACCTGCACTTAATATTTGCTCTGCAGAGGTTAGTAGCAGACTATATTTACAAAAAGCCAACAGTGTCCTAAATGCCTGATTTGCTGTACCACTCCATGCTTTCTGACATTCACTGTTCCTCCTTCATTCAGTTCCCCAACTCCTCTGTATTTTGGGCTCTGTGGTTCACTGGAAGGTTTCATAGAAACTTAAACCCATTAGGGAAATGACTCATACAATTGTGGGTGGTGCAGGCCACTGGTGGAGAGACAGTGTTACATCCCTCTTCATGTTCTCATTTACCTTGGCCAGGCAGTCCTTTCTTCCCTTACACTGTGTATTTATTGCCTTTCCCATGAAAGAATGGACATGTACCTGCTATCTATTAAGTGGTCCTCTCTCTCTCTCTCTCCCTTTTTTACTCCTTGGCAACCATCAATAATCATTAATACCTGTTCCTGTCATTTTATAAAAGTGGTATCTAGCAATGTTGATCCTATGTTTGACTTGAAGCTCAGTATAATGCCGTCAATATTTATTCATCCTATTTTTTTCCTTTTTTTTTATTGTTGTTGTTGTTGTGTACCATTGAGTCGAATCCAACTGGCACAAAAGGAGATTGCCCCTCCTTCTCCAGAGGAGGATCTGGTGGATTTGAACTATGTGCCTTTGGGATTGCAACACAGCTTCTTGCTACTAGGCCCCCAGAACTCTTTTTTTCCACCCTATTTTTAAGCATTGAATCGCACAGTGAATTGGAAGAAAACGTTTAACTCTGTGTAACATCCCACATGACATCTCTTCTGTTGTAATATTGCTCTTTCCCGTCCTGGCCAGGTATCCATGGCTGTGGATCTCTGCTCTACCCAATGGGAATCTTATGCCATTCAGTAATGAATTGACTTTTTCCTGGCTGATATGTAGATGTAAAAACTGGAGGCAAAGCAAATGGTAAAGTGTTAGATAGAGAGCTGAGTCAAAACAACTATGAAATATCATCTCACCCCAGTCAGAATAGCAAAATTAACAGAACAGAAAGCAACAAATGCTGGCGAGGTTGTGGAGAAACTGGAACCCTTATTCACTGTTGGTGGAGTGTAAAATGGTGCAACCACTGTGGAAGGCGGTATGGCGCTTTCTCAAAAAGTTGCAAATAGAGATACCATTTGACACGGCAATTCCAATACTGGGAATATATCCCAAAGAGACCATAACTGACAGCCAAGCAGATATATGCACACCCATGTTTATCGTGGCTTTGTTCACAATAGCAAGGAGTTGAAAACAACCTATGTGCCCATCAACAAATGAATGGGACAGAGAAGCTGTGGTATATTCACACAATGGCATACTATGGTGCATTGAAAAACAAGGAACTCATGCAATATTATTCAAAATGGTTGACCCTGGAGGACAATATGCTGAGTGAAGTAAAGTATCTCAGTCACAAAAGGACAAATACTGCATGGTGCCACTGTGTAAAACAGAACTGACCTTGGGATTGGGGAGAGACTGAGAAAGATGGGTTCAATAATGTATACTGCACTGAAACAGATGAGGGAGAAAACTGTTTATAAGGGATATGTGATTAGGTCCAGAACGAAGGCTGCATAGTGGAGTGGGCCTGGGGGGAGAGATTGTAAAACAATGAAAGAATTTTTAAAAAAAAACAACAAAACAGCTGAAAGGTAGAGAAGCAGCAGCTGGTCCCAAGTAACGAACAGGGCTTTACTAAGTGCACCTGAGAAGGATGCCAAGTGACTGCACGCAGAGAAGATCAGAATGGTGCTCAGGAAGACAAAAGCAGTTTCCTTTTCTGGGGACTGCTAAGGAGATTGGGAGGGTTGGGGGCAAGGGTCCTGTCAGGACGTGATTAGGTCCAGGGCCTTATCAAGATCTGGTCATCCACTTGCCTTATCAGGTTATAGTCAGACCTTATTAAGACATGGTCAGCCCTCTTTAAGGCATGGTTAAGCCTTGGGGAACTGCACCAGTCTTCCTCCATAAGCCACCATTACATTGTGGGATCCTTTAGGACAAGAATAATTTTAACAAGTTTAGAAGTCTTTTTTTAGGCCAAGAATGAAAATTAGTTAATTGATAAATGGTAAGAATTGATGGGAAGTTTTTCTAGACTTTAAATAGTTCTCTTGCCACAAAAAGCACCTAGCAGAAGAGAGAGAAATTCTGTCTCAGACATTGTTACTTCTAATAAATTTAAAACTTAATTTTGAACTCTGTCCACTGAGCATCATTTTAATTTTCCTTTCAGCATCTGTATGACAGCCTGTTCTACAGTGGCTGCCCTGGGGATGATGCCACTCTGCCTTTATGTCTACTCTCGGTCCTGGAGTCTTGAGCAGGATCTCACCATCCCGTATCAGAGCATAGGTCTGTATTGGGCTTCTGAAACGCAGTACGTAACGGTAATGTGGTAATACTTTATGTTTATGACATAAATGTAGTTTATGTTGTATTTCCTTTATGTAGGGATTTTTTAATACATTACCTTAACTCCCTAGATAGGTCTATAGAATTGAGTTCTTTTGGTCATGTCTTTAGAAAGCTGCCCTGTTAAAGCCAAAGGTTGAGCCTCTCTGGTGGTCTGTATCCATCAGTGACTCCTCGCGACAAAGATGGGCAATCTTCTCTCATATGATTTTTAACCTCAGAAATCCAATAGAAGGTGAGCCATGAGTTGATTCTCACCCAGCAGCAATGATATTTTTTAATAAGATTGGTTCTATTATTGGTTTATAACTTAGATTTTTAGACTTAAAGAAGTAATTTGACCAAGATCACGAGACTGGTAAATATAGCCTTGGAATCAATCGAGGTACATAGTACAGCTCTTAATCCCACAAGAGTTTATTCTGAAAATAAAGAAAACAAGAGGAAGGGGGGAAGGGGTGGGAGCAGAGGGGTAAGGATAGGTAGGGGTGAAATCACAGGGTTCATAATTTAGTAGGTGGAGGGAGGGGTAAAGGAAATGAGAACGATCTGGGTGCAGACCTGAAAAGCCTACTAGTGTGGGCATAGTCCAGTACGCAATGAGGGTTGCAGAGTGGATTATATTTGGG